TACTGTGTCCCTGTAAAACCTACTCCTCCTATATTCTTTTTTCCATTTTAGTTAATAGAAACACCATTTTCCCAACAACTGATACAAACAATGCTGGAGTTTATTTGACCAATTCCATCCCAATTCTTGTCTCCTGGAATGGGTGGCAAGGGATGTACACTCAGAATTAACCTTTTTATTTTCTCTACTTTCACTATGGCAATCCACTTTTTGCTCCTCAACATTTTGTTATCACCTTTATTTCCCTACACTTTCTGTTCTCAGTACAACAAACAGATGCATTTATATCCTTTCTCATCACACACAATACCTTCTTATATTATTAGGGGTCAAAGCAAAAAGTCTACCATATTCACAGAACATGTCAAAGCCTACTGGTCTTTTTCTGAATTATATCCTGATCTTCTGTTTTATTTTTTCTCTGATACAGCATAATTGGAATTTTTTCTTTTTGAAATAAATGAGAGGCTCCTAACTCCAAGTCTGAGTACTTGTTCTTACATTAAAAAAAAATACTCTAACCAATGCTTACCAACCAGTAAGCCTTCCATTATCTCAGTAAGGCTCTTCCTCAGTTTCCCACTTAAATTCATTAAATATGACTTTTATGTATCTGAGTTCATCTTACCCAAATTACTGTTCTTTAACATTAGTTATTAAATCACTGCTTTGAATTTCAGCTAGTCACTTACTGTTCGTCCCTCATCATAAACAGGGGAGCATCAAAACAGTAAAAACTTACAAATCTATTTTCCCCTCTGTAGTATTATCACTGCCTATAAGACTGCTTAATAAATATGTGTTAGATAAATTAATGGCATGAAACGGAAGACTTGTGAATCAGAAGATAACAATCAAAACGATGAAAAACAGTGGTAAAAATACTTTATTTAGCTTTATGGGAGTCCCTTGTAAAGGAAATACATAAAATAATTAAAGAGTTATCAGCCTGTTAAGTAGCCTGGGTATGGAAATGTTATACAGAATTAGATTGTTAATTTTCGTTACGGAAATTTTATTACTTTAAAATATTTTCATATATTTAATAAATTTTGGAAGTTAAATGAAATAAGTTAAATGAACAGCAATGAGGCCAATTGTGTCTTTAGTTAATGTATTTGCTATAGATGAGATAGGATCTTAAAGTAGGAGAGAAAAAGATGAAAATAAAGATAGTTTAACTGTTACATTCTAAGTGTTGCAGTAAGCATTTATATCACTTTGAAGATAATTCTATTCGCATAGTCTCCTCAACACCCTTATAAGGATGTTATCACTATTCTAACATTAGAGATGAGAAAATCAGTCTTAGAATCCCTAATGTCACTATATTGAGAATTATTAGGCAAGATTGAAACCAATTTTCTACACCTATGTATGTATGCATATACATATATATGCAGATTCATCTTTACTTAAAACAACAGACATATGAATGTCAAGCTCTTTAAATAATTGAATAAAAGAATAAACATAAGTGTCTGTGTGTGGATATTTGCATGCTCATGTACAGACTTTTAATATTACACTACCCCTTCCCTTTCATCTCCAAACTCCATAAAAAATTCTTTCTATTAAAATACATCTCTTTAGAAATGAAAGAAATTCTGGTTTTGGATTTTTTTTAAAGATTCATAAATTTCCCTTTTTTTCTTGTTTAAAGTTTAATTGATTCACTGACTTTAAAAAGAGCACAGTGTAGGCCACAACATAGAACTGAGTCAAGCAACTAATTGAAGCCAGGTTCTTGAAGGCTTAAATTACCAGAGCCTTCCTGTCATCCTAAATTAAACTTCCTTATATATTTTTCAAGATTTATAACCTCAGGCCAAAAAGCTGTAAACTGTCCCAGTTTGGGAGTGAATCTCCCAGAAGGAAATGATGTTTCCTGGAAAAGAACCCTGGAAGGCAAACATCCTCAATGGGAAAGGGGCTCCAGGAACAACGTGTGTGGTAGGGGTCACGGAAATCTTTCTAAGGGGCCTCAAAGTGAATGGTTGCTCAGAACATGCAGCCACGGATTTTGCCAATTTAACTTGGGTCCAGTAGTAGCAAGTTCAGCCACACAGAAAGTGGGTATGCTTTTTATTTGCTCCAAACAAATGAAAAGCAGAAAGGAAAATGGCCATCTCTGGAGATCTTTTCCTACATTCTCAGATAACTCTTTAGAAAGAATTATGACTGCTAACATTGCTTCTTCCAACATCAATGTGACTTTATACCTGCACTTTCACATTCTTTTTCTTTCTTTGAACGTGTTTTCATTCTGTAAAGCCTAAAGTGTTTATTTCCATGATTTGCGAGCTCTTGGTTGTACACTGATAACTATCCTTGGCTATTTGATAAAAGGTTGAAAGTCTTTCAACCTAAACAAAAATTAAGTGGTAAATATTTGAAGAGTAATAAACAACCATTTAATACTTTCCCCCCATATACTAGCATCCTAAAACTTAGTATATAACTACATATGAAAGTAAATCATCATTTTGTGATATTCCCAGTAATACATTAGTAGATACTATCGTGAGTATTATGCATGTACTTATTGGGTATTGTGGGGCCAGTGCGATAATCCTGCATCAATAATGTACTGTTTTAGTAAAATATAACTTTCCTCTTCCTTTTATTTCAAACAGCACTCTACTTGTCAAAATGTAGCTGATGAAAAGGTAGATAGGAGACATGTCTTAAATGCTTAAGACATTTATTAATGGAAATTAATGATCTGAGTTTGAAAATTGTAGTATCCCTTTTTACATTATGTATTAGAATAAGAAATAGTATTCCTACAATAAAAAACCACGTCTTCAAAAATGACATAAAATGGCGTCCATACTTTATATTTGAATTATACTTTAAGTATGAAAATAGCCTGAAGTTCATAGCATCCATATACATCTAGAAAGAATAAAAGAAACATCCCCCCAAAAATCTCATAATTTCCAAGAAATTCCAGACAAGAAATTGCACATGGCAGGTATAGGAATAGAATGAAGTAAAATCATGGCAAATGGTATTTCTTATTACTTCCACAGTCAACATGTTTGGTACAAAATCATTTTACTCATGTTATTTTTTGGCTACGATTGTTGCCTCTTTTCTACTCAGATGCTTTAACTAAACTCTAGGAAGTGTTATTTCTGGCAGTTTTCAGACTCTAGGTCTCTTTATATTAACTATTCACATACAAAATAAAAAGAATTAATATAGAATGAGGTTTCCTGCTTTCTTACCCTCTATTATTAAGGAAATCCAAAGAAGTCTCACCAACATGTTTTCTTTCTCATTGTGACTTTACTCTGATATCACAGGGAGTCAGACAATTTACAGAAAAATATCTCTATTATGATGAATTCATTCCTTGAATTTTATATGTACTAGTTGGGATGAATTTACATTTTTCACCAGTTTTGTAATTCATGGTTTGGTAAAAACCCTTCAAAACAAGAATAGGATTTATATTGTATACAGAGAGATATATTACTTAACAGGAAGAAAGAAACCAGGTTCTTATGAGGACTGGTTGAAAGATTAATAAGAAAGGATTTCTGAACCCAAAAATAAAGATGCTAGCAAGCAGTAAGTAGCATATGAAAATGTTTTCGATTTTTTTAACTTGTCCTGGGACTTGCCCACAGAACCCTGTGCTCTCTCCTGGCTTTTTCTTCTCTGAATCATGCTCTCCCATTTGAGGCACACCTTCAGCTACTGTAAAAATGCTCTAAAAGTTTGTTTTTTGATACCATTTATCCCTGAGAACAAACTCAAAGCAAGCTGCATTACTGGATTATAAGCATTGCTTCTAATGTGAAGTTACATATTTGCATTTGTGTGATATGTACATACATATGTATATGGAAATATTTAAGATGATGAAGAGTCTAATTTTATCCCTTCTTGTAAGTGTTAATTATCCAATACCCATCATACAGAAGTACTTTATCAGTTTACATAAAACTTGTTAACTTGAATCTCGTTTAATAATCATTTTAATATGTAAATTAGCTAGATTACAGTTCTAGTTATTCCAGGCATTGCCTTGAAGGTATTTGGGAGATGTAATTAAATCTACCAAGAGTTGATTTTAAAGTACAGAAGATTATCCTATATAATCTTGGTGAGTTACAAACAATAATTTGGAAAGTCCTGAAAGCCAGCAGGAGCTTCCTTGAGAGGTGAAATTTTACCTGTGTTCAGTAGTTTTAGCTGATCCTTGCTAATGGATTGCCCTTCAGACTTAAGACTTTTCCAGCCTGCCCTCACCTCATGCAACCCAGATTTTCCACAATAAGTCTCCTACTTTTTAATCTTTTGGCCCTTCTTGAATGTTTGAATACTTCTACAATTCCAAATTGTGAGGAAATAAACACACAGAAAGACTGAAAAAAGTAAGGGAAGAGGAAAAAGATAGTATTATTTTTCAGCAGCTCACCTCAAAGAAAGGGGGAAATAAGGTGCTATGGTTTGGGGGTCACTTTACCTCAGGCTGTGTTTACATGTTCCAAAAAGCTCAACGTAAATGGAACAGACATTCATGTACACACACACACACACACACACACACACACACACACACGCACGCACGCACGCACACACGCACACATCTCCAGATAAAAACCCTTATAAAATTTTTGACAGACCTTTACATTTTTAACCATTCAAAAGCATCAACAATTGACAGCTATACAACAGGGGTCCAGGACTCTGACAGACATTTTAAATACCAAAAAAAAAAAAAAGCAATAGATGGAAGTAGCTACGCCACATTGCTTACACCAAAGACATTTCACATAATTTGTTATAAACAACCAACAAACATATTTCTCCTCTGGAACTATGGATCGTTACATGTCCAATCCAAAAAAAGGGTAACTATCTGACAACGGCAATAGTCCGTTATATCCCATCACACAATAAAACTGCATACACATGTGTAACAGACTCATGAAGTTATTTTTTAATCACTTACTCTTCAATGCATCCCGACTTCCCTTCCTTACCTGGACTGCATATCTTGCTGGCTTTTGGCCTGACTGGCTTCTGATGGTGGGGAAGTGTGAGTCACACGCTGCTGAAGCTCCACCAGAGACTGGTAATACTGGTGTTGATGATGCTGTTGCTGCTTGTAGCGGGACAAGCTGAAAAACAGTCCTAGGATGGCTTTTAGGTTTCCATTTCTTATTTCTGTATCAAATGGAACATACAACAAAACATCCTATCAAGTGAACGTATTTAAAAAAATCAGTAAAATTCCAGATCCCATCTTTTCACACTAAATTGAAAGACACTAAATGTTCTACATCCCCTTCTGGAATTTAGAAGCGCAAATTAGCGGGGCTTCTTATGCTCCATGAGGTCACACAGCAAACAGGACAATAAGCCAGTAAGATACGGCTTTCTGCTGCTTTTTTCCCTTCCTTCCTTCTTTTGTTTCCATAATAGTACTGATCAATGAGCCCACAATGAGAACATAGTTTTTCCCTACAAACTAGAATAACTGTCTTTAAATAATTTTTTAAAATTTTATGTTTATGTATACTTATTTTATGTTTTTATATAGGCATATTTAATTTAATTTAGACCACTATTCTAAATATTCATATATTTTAAATAAAGAAGCAAAAATCAGCAGGCTTATATGACTTCAAGTTATCATGTGAGAAAGAAGAGTCAAAATGAACAATGGGAGAATTTCTAGCCTCTGTTTAACCACTTAGAAAACAAACTTTATTCTAGGTAATAGAACTACCACATAGGTCCGAATCTTTGCTTTTTGGCCACTAAATGAGCAGTTTAATTATACAACCTATTTCTTGAATATAAAGCCAAAAATAAGGGAAAATAGGATAAATGAAGGAAAGTAAACAATTATTTTTCATGTCTATTATACTTCAAAGTCTATTATACTTCAGAGTCACATGATTCCTTATTCCAATTGCTTGAAAATGATCAAGCAATAGACAGATGAAGAGAAAGGTTATATGGGCCAGGACAGATGGTAAGGGCAGGAAACAGAAACATCATTCACTTTTTATGAAAATTGTGTCTCAAGTTTGTTAAGATTAGAAAATTTCTCATCTTTATATATGAAGGTAAAGTATCTCTGAAAAAAAGAACACCTAAAGAAATGTCATCTATATCTGCTTTGTTATGTTTTGACATTAGTGATAATGCTCCAAAACTTTCATGATCCTTCAAACATTTCATGATTTAAAAACTATTAATACTGTTGCTCTCATTTTTAAGAACTTAAATTTGGCTTCAACCTTCTAATATTTTGACTTCCATTACTAACTTGGTTATATTATAGTAAGATTATTATTGTAAAATACTACTGAACATGAATTATATTCTTTTACCTATAATTATGCCCACAGATTATCCAGCATTAACATAATCATCTTTCCATCTATTTAAGAATCTAAAAGCATTCTGCACCATTAGTATTACATAAATGCTAATGATTCACCTACACAACATATATTCTGTTGCATACTGAAGAGTTCTGCAAAACTCAGGAAATAAAGCTTACACCGATGTCCATTATGATCACATTTCTGTTATTGGAAAGCCAATATTCCAACCTAACATTTCTATCATTATGAACAATTCTTCATAAGTAATGATGCCCATTCATAACTATAATAGTTTATCTTACCTTCAGCAGATAGACCTTGAACATTTACCCCTCTGGCTGCTAGAAAACTTAGGCAGACATCAACATTTTCAATCTGTAACATGAAAAGCAGCGAAAAGGCAACTTAGAGGATTAGTTTAAAATAAATACATGAGCAAGAATGAAGCCAGAAAGAAAGATAAAGAATGAATACTTTACATTCATGCCATTCTAGAGGTCTTTCTCAGATTTTAACTAGAATTATCCTGGCTAATTACAGAGTGGATATAAAGCTTTCATTGTCCAGTTTGGTACTTAGAAACAATTCATAAAGGCCTGATCAAGAATGACATTCTTGCAATGTAGCGACCCACCTACTTAACATAAAACCAGATTTCTGTGCTTTACAAGTTATTCTCCATAAAAATATCCATATGAGATGAGATTGTTGCTTGTATATGCCCTGGAATGTTTTAAGATGTAGATAAGTGAAATTCAACTGGTAATAATAGTTACACGTTCCCAAAGTTGGATAGGATGGACAAGGGAAGATATATGAAGGAAATGATCTACATTTTCTTTCTAAACTGTAACAAATCTTTATTTTAGAAGTTGTATTTTATTTTTACTGTGAGTACTACTACTCTGATGAAGTAGAGGTATTGTCTGTCATACAATAAATGAGTAATGTTGATAACTTGTAGATGGTTTCAATATAACAACCAGTTGGTATCCATTTAAAGTGAGAAATAAAACTCTAAAACAGTGATTTTATAGTAAGCCAGTGTGTGATCTCAACATTGATCACAGGATTAGATTTCAGAAGAGTGTAAGAACCTAGAAAATTCTAGTTCTTTGGAAAATTTTAAGAGGAAATGTAAGGTTATATTTATTTCTGCCTTCTTACATTGCATTAAAAGCAACCCTCTATCATATACATACACATTCTGTACTAATGTTTCCTCTGCTAAGTTTCTTTTTTTTAATATTTTTATTGTGAGAATACCATACAGAGAATACCATACAATTACATGGACAAGATAATGAGTACATTCTTATCAAGCATTGTTGCCTCCTCGTTGTCCTCTGCTAAGTTTCAAAACAAGGTCGAACTGTCTTGAAATCAATAACAAAAAATAGATTCAAGTATCTATCCTTCAAATGGAGAAAGGAATAGTGAGTGAATAAAATCATAATATAAAATGTGCATTTGTGAAAATAGAAATAGGTAACTTGAAGGGTGGGTGAGTTTGGAATGGAGAGTAGGGAAACTGAAGATGACACTGATCAAGATGCATCATCCTCAAAAAAGGTCATACAGAACTGAAACTCCTTTGTACAACTAAAGAATAATTTTTAAGTTAATATAGAGGATGAAATGTGTAGAATTGGATTTTTTGTCTGTCTTTTTAAAAGGTGTTTTTACATCAGGGATTTTACTGCTTCTCAAGTAGGCTAACACAGCTAAGTTTTTTCTCTAACATTGAATAGCATTCATATTTTCATCAAGTACCAGATAAAGCTGTTGGCAGGCAATTCATTAAGTGTAAAAATAGTTTTATAAAAGTAAATCTCTCAATTTTCACGATGTTGATCCTTCCAATCAAGTGTAATCCTAGCTACTCAGGTAGCTGAGATCGGAGGATCGCAGTTCAAAGCCAGCCCAGGCAAGGAAAGTCTGTGAGACTCTTATCTACAATTAACCACCAGAGAATCAGAAGTGCTGCTATAGCTCAAGTGGTAGAGCACTAGCCTTGAGCTGAGGAGCTGAGGGACAGTGCCCAGGCCCAGAGTTCAAGCCCCACGACTGACCAAAAATGAAAAAAAGTATTTCTTCAATGAGATTTAAATCTAATGATAAATACTAGCTGCAATAAAATGTATACTTTCATAACCACAATTAATAAGTAGAAATATTAGAAATATTCACATTTGGAAAGATACTCAGGAACTTAGAGCAAGAGAGGAAATAGCAGAGATCAGACTCATGCTGTGCTCATGCCATGTGTAATGCTCATGCTGGTCTATGTTACTCAGTAGAAAAAAATGATAAACTTGACAAGCTAGGGTTTTCCTTATACTAGTTTTTTTGTTGTTGTTGTTCATGGGGCTTGAACTCTGGGCCTGGGCACTGTCCCTCTGCTCTTTAGCTCAAGGCGAGCGCTCTACAACTTGAGCTACAGCGCCACTTTTGGTTTTCTGGTGGTTTATTGGAGATAGGAGTCTCACGGTCTCTCCTGCCCAGGCTGGCTTTGAACCGCGATCCTCAGATCTCAGCCTCCTGAGTAGCTAGGATTACAGGCGTGAGTCACCAGCGCCCGGCTCCTTATACTAGTTTATTTTGGTTTGGCTTGTTACTGAATCTGTATGCATAACTTTGGATAGCACTTTGTATCTTAATAAGTGAGAAAATATTCCAGTGACAATTTGGAAAATAAAACGTATGTTCTTTTTATTTTTTCCCTTAAAACAGATAAAATACATTCTTTCATAAATGTCACTGTGTGCAAAATTAAATGATAATATCCAATGAGATATTACTTGTTCAGAAATGTCAAGGTATATATGTTTGCTTTGAGGGAAAAATGATTTTATATTGACTTATTTTCAAAATGAATTCTACTAAAATTATTCTACTGGAAAAAAAGAAGCATCATCAATCTCAAAAAGGACCAGATACCATCTAATCACTCTTAATGTTCTGACACCAGTAGCTGAATTGCCAGTGAATATATAGTGCTGAGATTCCTATGAAATCCTTTCCTTTCTCCACAGTTCACTTTCCTACTAGGAAATGAGATTACATAAGGGAATAAAGAAAATAAGAAATACAGAAAACAAAGTAAAGAAAATAAGAAGCTGTTAAATTGGATGTTTAAATATATCCATCCATAGTATTCTTTTGTTTCTTTCAACTCTATTAAATAAAATACCTAATAATTAATATAGTCTAATGCTAAGAAAAACCAAACGATTAGATATTTTTAATATTCTGCAAAGAAGTCCTGATGCTAATATATTTGTAGCAATTTATATACCTGTAAGAGAATGTAAGAATATATCAGACGCCACATAATTTGCTGAAAAATGTCAATAGGATATTATTGCCTACATTTTAGGAAATATATAATACGTAGGCAGTTCTTTAGGGGATCTGGGGATAGATTAATAAATAGTCTAAGTTTGTAAAGTAGATTATTTCATCTGCCATTTTATCAACTTAGAAATCAGACTCCTAGTCTAAGTCTAAACTGTATTTTAAAGACAAAGAAACTGATACCCAGAGCTCTCATAATAATAACCTAATAACGCCAGATTAAAAAGGATGTATTAGGGGCTGGGAAGGTGGCTCAGTGGTAGAGCGCTTGCCTTGCATGCCTGAGGCTCTGGGTTCGATTCCTCAGCACCACATAAGCAAAATGAAAAAAGCCAGAAGTGGCGCTGTGGCTCAAGTGGTAGAGCGCTAGCCTTGAGCTGAAGAGCTGAGGGACAGTGCCCAGGCCCAGAGTTCAGGCCCCACAACTGGACCCCCCCCCAAAAAGGATGTATTATATGAGGCCTAATTTAAGTGAGATTCAAGATAAGCAAGTGAAACAAATAAAAACAGAAAATACACTAGTTGGAATAGCTTTTGTCTTTGTCTGAGCAGACAGTAATGGTTATATATCCAGATGTATAGATAGACAATCATTTAAAAACAAGATGCTCAGTTTACATTCATATCAATTAAATTAATATGTCAGTGGATAGAAGCCAGTTTCCAAATGTTTGACAAATCTTTGGGTAACTGTAAACCTTGTACTCAATCTATATGCTTAAAAGGAAGCATTTGCATACAATTTCAATTTATTTCTATATGGATGTGGGAAATTACATTGCTTTGACAATAGAGATGCACTATCTTTTACTTATTTGCACCACAAAGTTATGTAATTCATGCATTTTGCATTTTATCTCTGTGGCATTAAAATGCCTATCTTCTTGTGTAGCAGAAATACAAAGAACTTCGTCTAAGTTCAGTTGGCAACATTTTCCTCATATGAAGTTTAGAGTCACATCTTGAACTTGTGGACAGCTGCTCTCAAACACTTTTACTTTTTTCTTCTTTTTGGCTTAATTTTTATTGACCTATTTCCCATCTCTTTTGTCATATTATATTTAATTATGGCTAGATAACTGTGAAAATACTAATGATATAATGAAAACATAAAATTTATCTAAGTTATGGACATATTAAATATTCTTAAAAGTAGCAAATGTAGGGATATATATATCAATTAAATGTAGTCACATATACATATATATATTACATATATATATATATATATATATATATATATATATATATATTTGAATCGAGCTGTTTGGAGTCTATCCAAATACTTAAATGCTATTATAAATCTCTTATCAAAAACATTGTTTTTGAAAAGTCTTTCTTTTTTTTAATTTAATTTTATTTTTTCTTTTTTTGTGAACATACTGTACAGAGCGGTTACAATTACATGGGCAGGATAATGCGTACATTTCTTATCAAGCATTGCAGCCTCCTCCTTTGTTTACCCTTCACATCCCTTTTGAAAAGTCTTTTTGAAAACAGACTGCTACATTCTTTACTGAAGAAATTAAACATATTGATTAGATGTTAATCTCTAATTATAGATCTGATTAGTTTCCATATGTGTAATTAATATCAGCATCTTGAAACACTACCAATTAATCTTATATTTTATAAAATCCAATCATTTATTCATTCATTGAGCATTTATTGAACTGTTTTATGTTCAAGGCAAAGCCACTACACTCATACATTTTAATCAACAGTGATCCTTACTTCAATTTCTACCATGAAAAATGGGGACCTAAGTTTGGAAAAAACTACACATTTCTGTTATAACTCTATATTTATTGTGCCTCTTATGAATATGCTAAATATCAGTGGGTCTGATTGCTAAATCACAAACTGACTTTCTAATGAGGAAAGAAGGGCTTACCCATTTTTCACTTCTGAAAAACTCAAGGCAGTCATTAATATATTTATCTCTTCAATGTAAAACAAAATGTAGTTGTGCTGGTAACTTCAGTATTGCCTTGTTTGTGATCATTTGGGTAAATGGC